TGCCACTACATAATGCTAAAAGTGTTCATTTATACTGTTAAGTAACTAGCGTCATGCACCTGTCATGTAATCCTGCCGGTTCCTACACAAGCACGGTGAAAAATTAGAATTTTCATTGTTATACCAGTAGAGTGTTGAAGGCTTGTCTGCTCTCCAATTGACGGCGCGCTTCCCCTTGCGCACACTGCTGATTGCAATGGGAATGTCCTCGGCTAGAGGCAAATCACAGAGTTCCCTCACAAATTTCCCATCAGTTGTCCATACTTCTACCTTTTTGGGAAATCTTCCACGCGGTACAATAAAAGAGTATGGTCTGTGAATAGAACTAATTAAAAGGTACTTTTGGTCAGGGGATGGATCCATGGATGTATATACAGCTGGAGGTCCAACTTCCTTCGCTGTCCCATCCAAAGAAGCCAGCACAAGTTGAGAGGTTGTGTAGTAGTCAAACAAGTCTTCATCATACTCATCCTTCAATAAGTCCTGAAATGTTCTAACTTGAACGACATTTTTTTGCTCATTAGATTGAATCTTTGGACCAGAGGGCACTGATGGTTTCTTTGGAGGATCTCCACGAGATGATGGAATGGTGCAGACCAATAGAGTAGAGTTATCCACCCATACAAAATTATCAAAAACAGCATTTAGGTAAACATCTGGTGACTGAAACAAAGGTCGAGCTTGCCCTGTTTCCACATTAGCAACCCATACTCTGAGTTTACTGCTGCTATTGTCCTCCTCGTCAAATCGGATGCTGAAGGCCAAATGCCTTCCATCAAGAGACCAGGTGACAAAATTGATCTTAGCACCATCTGGATATCCATGTATCTCTCTTTCAGGCCCTAGTATACCATCAGGCATTAACTGATGAATGCCAATACCAGTGTAGAATGACATCCGGCTCTTAGTATTACAATTCCCATCAATACGCAAACCAGCCAGCTTCTCCTCTGGTCTTGCTAGTTCTGCAAGTGGAGGTAATGATCTCCGCTTGAGAAAAAGTATTTTATCCTTTTGCGGTGATAATGACAACGCAGGGAGAGGCGGAGCATCAACAATGTCTTTTATCTCCGGTGGAGGAAGCTGATATTTACATGCCAATGCATCAACAATGTCTTTTATCTCCTGTGGAGGAAGCTGATATTTACATGCCAATGCTTCTACATTTATACAAATATAAAAAAAAAAATCACCGGTTAGAGTTATAATCATGCAAGTTTTTAAATAAAAAAAAATCACCAGTTAGAGTTATAATCATGCAAGTTTTTAAGACTTAACCATAACCCCCCCCCCCCCAACCAAAAAAAAAAAAACGAAAAAAACGAAAAAAGAAAAAGGACAAAAAGGAAAGACCGATCAGTTTCCTAGAAAGAGGAAACGTGCTTTAACATACACACATAGCTACTAATAAACTTGTTTGATATATTTAACTGGTCATCATCGCTTCCTTTTGCCTTGTGTTTTACCGAAGAATCTAGTCCAGTCTAGTCTAGCGAGCCGATACGATTAATTAGCAATAATAACCTCAAATTGCAAAAGGAAAAGTGAGAGTGAATGAGCACCTTCCTCTTCGGTGGTGGATGTGGATGAAACAGAGGCATTGGAGCGACTGCCAACATTTTCGGCTGCAATAGAGTTTACAGGCACAAGATTGCCGAGTCTACAAGGCATAGTTGAAATTGACTTGAACCTTTTAGAGTGATGAGTTCTCAGGTGGCCATGAGTTCGTACGGATGTTGTGAGTGAGGGAAGAGAGAACGGGGGGGAAGACAGGAAACTCAGACGATGATTGACTTTGGGAAGCTGCACCATTTGCCTTCCTATCCAATAAATGAAATTTCATAGTGCTCGTAGAATTAATTATTCGTATTTTATTATATATATATATATATATATATATGTAGAATTTTATATTCACGTAATTAGTTATATTCTCTCACACCGCAGTCTACAGGGCACCTTATTAACCTGACTCATATGGCACCGCCGTCAACTATAGAATTTGCCATAGACTAGGTAACTTCTCTTCAAACTATTCTTCAATTAGAGTAACTTGGTGCCTCGGTCTTCAAGAAAATAGTCATCTCGTCCCTCTAGTTTCTGATCATTTGAAGTCATTAAGGAAGTGTTTATAGGACAATGATGCACAGGACAAAATAATTTTTTTTATATAGATATTTGGTTAATTTTTATTTTATCTAATAAAAAAAATATTCTACTAAAAAAGATAGGACAAGTTAAATATTTTATGTAAGTGTTAATATAGTTAATCCAAGTTAATATAAAAATAAAAATTATTATTATCAAAATTTTAAAACATGATTCGTATATCAACCCGGGGTCAAGTCTGCATCACAAGTCAAGTTTATCATTGAACTGGGTCAATATAAAAATAAAAATAATTATAATTATAGTTTTAAAACTTGACTAGATAGTCGACTTAAGGCCAAACTCGGGTTACGAGTCGAATTGGTCATTGACCTAGGTTAACCTTAGGATAAAAAAATTATTATAATAGTTTTAAAACTCGAATTGAAAGTCGACTTAGGATCAGGCCTGATCAACTAGACTCGAGTCACATATTAGGTTGACTATTAATCTAGGTCCACGTAAGAATAAAAATGATTATTGCTATAGTTTTAAAACTCGACTCAGGAGTTGATATGGGACCAAATCCGAGTTATGGGTCAAGTTGACCTTTGACTTGGATCTATATAAAAATAAAAATAATTATTATCATAGTTTTAAAATCCTACTTAAAGGTTAAGGCTAGGCAAGGTTTATGAGTTGGGTTGACCATTGACTCGAGTCATTGTAATGATAAAAATAGTTTTAAAACCTAACTATGGGGTTGACCTGGGGCAAGGCCCAATTCATGGGTCGAGATAGTCAATTTGAGTTAAATCAAAACAGCATAAGAATAAAAATTGTTATTATTATAATTTTAAAATCCGATTCGATGGTCGATCCAGAATAAAACTCAATTTAAGAGTTAGAAGGGTCAACTCGAGTTGACCCAAATTAAAAAAAAAAATTAAATCAAAGCAACCTTATATTGACAAATAAATATATATAAAAAAGTTATTGGATTTTTTATCTATATTTTATCTCAGGTTAACAAGTTCATAAATTGACCTGAGTTTTTTACCAAGATTATTTTTTTTTTATTTTTTTCTTAAATCAAGATTTTTGTAGACTTCGTATCAATTGAGTATTATTTAGTATCTATCAAGTACAAAATAAGTTAAATTATCCAGTCCAATTTAAAGTACACTGAATATTGAATAAGATGGTTATTTGTTCATATTTAGTATACCAAACATTACATAGAAAAACTTGCAAAAAAAAAAACTTACAAAAAAAAATATAAGAGAAGAAGAAATTAAGCAAAAAAAAAAACTTACAAAAAAAAATATAAGAGAAGAAGAAATTAATGTGATGGTTGTGCATCTTATTAACAAACAAATTAATGAAAAGACTCAATGGTAAGTTAGTATCAAAATATAGAGATTAAACATGAGGTCTTTCTATTAAAAGGTTTTGAATTATTTGTTTCTTAAGAACACAAGGGACAAGTGGGGAAAACAACAGAGATGATAAATATACGGTTTTTACTGAGATTCTTCCCCATTTACTTGAATTGAAAAGGGCAGGGGGGTTTGTTTATCTCTATAAAAGTGGATAAAAACATTGATTTATTTAAATATGGAATTGGATGTGATAAATTCTAACCTTGATGTGGGATTTTCTATATAAATAATGTATTTTATTTATATTTTTTCTAGGTAGTATTTGATTATAGTCCTAAAACAAAAAATACAGAAACAATAAAAATAAAAGAGACAAGTAGAAAAAAAGACAAATAAAATTTTGTTTGGTAGTAAAATATATATATATATATATATATATATATATATAAAGTGATTGTTTCTATATAATGTTAGGTTATAATGGATAAAATAAAATAAAATATAAAAAAATATTTTACCCTTAACATATATTATATATTATTGTAAAACTTACCTATTTAAAAAATAATTAAATATCATAAATTAATATAAAAAAATCTATAAATATCTCAGTTACTGTATAATTTCATTCATCAGCAGCCTCATAACACAAAATGAGTCTGTTACTCCCAAAGGGAACTAGTTAGTACCATGCCGGAGAAATATTCAGTACTGATGATAAGGTAATTAATTATTGGGGTCAGAAATTTGCCATCTCTAAAGATTCTATGGGAGGCGGAATTGGAATCATTCAAAGTTTCAACATCTTAGGTGGTGATGAATTTATTAACTCCCTAAAATATCAACTGGGTAACGAGGGGGTTTGGCTCCTGGATTGGTCTTCTACATCTTATCCGACGTCCGTCAGCATTTTTACATGGAAAACACGTTTTTTCCCTCTCTTTTTATATTTGGCTATCTTGAATTCGTGACAGATAAAGGTCTGCCATGGCTGATACTTTGGAGGCGGGATAGGAACTTTCAAGCTAAAGAAGCGAGTTGTGATTAATTCAGGTGGTTCGGTATTTATTTTTTTTAAATAAGATTTGGAGAGAAATAAACTGAGTGAACTCGATCAAATTAGTTGGAGTTTAATGCATTTTTCTTATAAAAAAAGGAAGAAGGAGCTGTAAATATCAATAAGGCTTTTACTCCGATCCAACTTTTCTGGCAGTTATAAACCCTGATCTTTGACGTTTGAAGACAGTAGATTATTTTAAGATTTTTAATTTATATATTCAAGTTTATATTTTATCAACAAATATTATAAGTCGAAGTCTTTTATATATTGATTTGTATTTATTTATGTAAATATGTACTAACCACGAGTGTACATGTAATAATTAACAAGATCAGTGCACAAACCACACCACAATTCCCCAGTCTGACGTGGAAGCATGCAATTGGTTGACACCTGATAAGAAATCTGTGTTCGGTAATGGTTACTTGTCCCGATAATATAGTTTCCATTGTCACCTTCCCTCGACACTATCAGTTTTATCTCCATTGCGCAATACCACACCACACCACAGCAACAAGCTTTACCATAACTAGAATGGCAACGATAGCTGGTCTTAACCTCTCAACACCTAGAGTCTTAGCTAAGGCAACAGACAAACCAAGAGCTCAGCCCCTCATCAAGTTAAACCAGCCATGGAGGAGGACATACCACCTGGGGTCCGGGCGCATGCAAATCCGACCCGTGAGGGCTGCCCCTGATAGCATATCAGAGAAGGTTGAAAAGAGCATAAAAGATGCAGAGGCGGCGTGCTCCGATGATGCAGCAAGTGGAGAATGCGCAGCCGCATGGGATGAAGTGGAGGAGTTGAGTGCTGCTGCTAGCCATGCCAAGGACAAGAAGAAGGGGTCTGACCCTTTGGAGGAGTACTGCAAGGACAACCCTGAGACAGATGAGTGCCGCACTTATGAAGATTGAAATGGTTTTTACTTTATGTGCCTTTTTCAATGATCAAACTTTAGATATTTTTATTAATTTTGGTTTATGTAACGCTGGAGATGCTGTATGGTGTCTATTATATATGATGTTCTATTAATTAGCACATACTCTTATACCCTACCTTCGTCAAAGATAAATTTGGTGATTAATTATTAGTTGCGTGTTATATTTCTACTTAATTTATAGCTATTTTTTCAAACTTTTCTAAAAGAAGTTCAGATATCTCTGGCTTAGAGCTGAAGCGTGCCTGTAGGAAACGGCCTGTAGGAAAAATTCGGTAAAGATTACCGTGCAGAATCCAGGCTAACCACGATATAAAAAGGTCAAAGCTAAATGGCCTGTAGGAAAAAAAGGATAGAGAAGCGGGGAATGGCGCCATCCGTCTCCATTATCCTATATTAATAAAATTGAACTGGCTTCTGTTAATAAGAAGACAGCTAAACGATTAAGATTTGAGATCCAGGACAGTTCAGGTTCCAAACCCGCTACAGTAGCATTTACTATTTAGTGTTATCTACGGGGTTGGATGTCGGGTGAGCAAGGAAAGAAAAAGGGAAAATGCTAATACAAGGGTCTCACCAGTTGTGTTTTTGTTTGAGGTTAGATAATTTCACTTCTTAGTCATTGTTTATGTGAAAATGCGTTTTTCAAATTACTAAATAAGGAGATGTCATCTCAATAAATGCACAATTTAATCTAAAAACATATTTATTGTCGGGGAAAAATCCACGAAAATTCTTAGAAGAGATAAGAACCGTAAGAAAATTGACTTGAATTGGTAATAAGAACCCTCTAGATGCCTTGCAGCGGGGATTACGCCAACTCACGCAATTATCCGACCTTGCTTCCTGGCTTGGTCAAAATGAGGGAATTTCTGATTGAACTTTAATGATTTGCTTCATGATTTGCATTACAATTCAGCTGTTTCCAGGAATCTTCCAGGAACAACACCCAGCATGCTAAATAGCAGTCAAAAGTTGTGAGCTACATCGCTCCACGGGGGGAGGAATCGTGAGGTGGGAAAAACAGCACTCACCAATCGTCCCCTCATGAAATATCCCGAGGAAGTCCAACACGCACACTGCTACCAAATTATATCCATAAACCATATCAGCTTCCAAATATAGACACGCTTAAAAACATAAACCCCAAGTCCCCAAATGAGCTCATCCAAGTTGAAGATCATTCAACTTCTACAACTTCCAATCTAGGTCTATCCAAAATCACTCGGAAACTATGCAAAGTGATTCAACTTGGATGACTTCCAATCTAAGTCTATCCAAAATCACCCGGAAACTAGGTGCAAAGTGCTATATACCACCATCCAAAAGTAAGAACAACAAATTAGGAAAAATTAAAAGCATTGAATTGGCTCAGGAGAGAGTTAGAACCTTCAAGTGAGTCTTCCGCAGCTTAAGGTTCAACCCACGCAACAAGCGACCATCTCATCGTTCTAGTTGATCTTCCTATTAAGTTGTATCCAATTTTACAAACAATTATCCTCACAAGCCACCGGAAGCAGACAGCGTAGCAATTTACCGTCACTACTGTGTAAACACTTACTACCACCCACTTAGTGTTAACCATTCCAACTATAAGGAAACCAGCAACAAAAACATGCTGATCACAAATCATCACCCAGACAATTGAGATCCAGCTCCTCACATTTGGGGGGCAATCAAGTGCAGGGGGGTACAATCTGTGAGCATAAAAATGATGGAGACCATAATCTTTCACTTTGATTTAAACATCAAATCCACTCACGATTTAATGCAAATAAACCAAACACATGCATACCATGGAAAATATAATGCAATCACATCGAGATTACTGCAGAGAAACATAACAGTAAGGGAAATGACACAAATTGGAAAGTGATTACATTATAAACGGTGATTGAAATTCAAACAGGACCCATAACATCACAACTTCGACCAAACCACACTGCTATCAAACACACACCATACCAGCATCCACCTAAGACATTAAACCATGCTGTTATAAAGACCCACGCAAGCAAAAGATGAACCCCGGACGATAGACAAACAACATCTTCCAGCAAAGCACTGAACAGGCTCACAAACACTAATATTGAAACATATCAGCAGATGCCATTATGGGCATTTTTGAACAGGGGAGCTGCCATGGCTTCAACAAAGGATCGGGTATTTCGGGTATCTCCATAGAGAGACCACTAACATCCTCCACAATCTGCAACACAGAGTTCAACGACCGCAGCCTCTCAGTCAATTCCACAGCCTGAGCCCTCAGGACATTGTTGGCCGACTCCATCTCCATGCGGCGTTGTTGGCCAACATTGATACCCTGCATCAACTGATTGTTCTCGTTCTGCAATTTGCTCACTTCATTGACCAAATCCTCCATTTGTTTCTGCTTCCTCATCCTGGAACGCCTCGCAGATTCCCTGTTGGATATCATCCTCTTCCTTTTCCTCTCATCGACATTCGCATATCGCGGATCACTATCCGATCCTGAGCTCGCCGCTTGCCGAGCAGACATTTTTTTACAATTTCTAGATTCTTCGCTAACAAAATCAAATAAATTCAATACCTACCTATCCAATTCGGTTATAATTAGACTGTAAAATGTACTAGGGGTCGAGATCTAGAAAATAAATTGGATTAATTCATGAGAACACATAAAACCAGTAGAGAAACACAACCGAGAAAGAGTGAAGAATCCGAATTCGACGCATAAGCATAGCGTAACTCAAAGAAATTCTAAAAACATTGGTGCTTCTTCCAAAACCCTAATTTTCGATCCCCAAATCGAACAGCACGGATTTTTAGAAAACACGAGAGTAAGAAATCACCCAAAAATTAGATCCGAGACTCTAGATCTAAAAACAAAAATAGAGACACTGAAAGAAGAATACTTAGCTGACGAAACGCAGAGAGGGGGTGAGAGAGAGATTTTTCGGGGAACAGAAACCCTGAAATAGGAAGACCCAGATTTATCCTAAAGAAAAGAAGGTTAATGATGTCGTTTGGTGCGGCTTTTATAGAAAAAGAGGGGCTGGATTTAGCTGTTAGAAGATATCTTTTAATTCAAAATGGTGGGGTTTTTTTTTTTTTTTTTTCCAAGAGAGTTATGAGTGGCGTCGGTGTAATTGCTGGCGTGCAGAATGACGCCAGCTGTGCTTTTAAGCCTCTCGAAGTCTCCCATGTATATATTATTTTTTTCATAGGGGAATATACTATAATTATTCCTTCGTTTACCAAGTCAAAGTGTAAAAACGAAGCTTCGTGGGATTTGTTGGTCTTCTTCATTCATGAATCCTGAACAGCTGTGGAAAGGACCAAAAACTCCAAAGTCATAATCGCTGTGTTATTATCCGTTTAAGTAATTAATTAAATACTGAAGGTTTGTTAGATATTATTTTCCGTCAAAACTTTGAATGTCACACGTTGGTGATTTTTTTCTTTTTTTGAGAAAATTATCCAAAGTATTTTGTAGTTCGGTGAAAATTATATTTGTTGTTTGGTTTAAAAGAGTCAAAGTGATAGTTTAATTGATGTGTGTGTGTGTGTGTGTGTGTGTGTGTGTGTGTGTGTGAGAGAGAGAGAGAGAGAGAGAGGTATTGTGATAATTTCATTATATTTAAAAATAATTTCTTACAAATTGCAATTTTTTAAAACTCAATAAATATGTGCAATTTCAATCAAATTATAAAATGCTATCTAAAAAAAAAAACAGAAACAGTTTATAAACCCTAGATCATTGCAATATTTTTCTCATTTGGATCCATGAATTCACATATTTTTATCATGATACTTAGCATTATTCTTATGATGCAAATGAGTTGTTGTATGATGATATTAAAGTAGGATTTACTTGGTTGATCATATTGCTCAATAATTCATCATTATTATTTAATTTTCATCTTGTCATAATGTTCTAATACAAATTTATTAATGTGTACTTTACCCATGTCTGAATCAATTAATAATAATTCTTTTAATTTCAAAAAATTGTTTTTCTTTATTAAATAAAAATGTTTAATTTTTAATTAATTTTATATAAATTTTAATAATCATAATTAAATTTATCACATAAGGTAGCTTTAATAATACTTAAGTAAATATTAGGTACATAAATTGAAGAATCTTTCAAAACATAAATATATATAACGCTTAAAAATGATAATTATATAAAAACATTCATTTAATATTATATTATTATAAAAAAATTTATTTTAAAATGTTATTTTAAATTGTATGTGTTGTGAATTTAAAGTAACAGTAGATAAGTAAATTTTATAAATTATTTTTTAATAAATATTGTTTTTTTTTTTAATCTTATCAATGATGGGTGTCCCTATATTGCTGAAGATTTGAATAAACCTTACGTCGAAAGTCGCCAAGTTATGAAGACTTTGCACTTCATTGACTTTCTCAAGGACTGACAAATCACAGGTGGCATCAACCTTTTATTATAGTAAATGTGAATACTCTTTACACAAAAAAATATTTTTTGACCATTTATTAATATTTAATTATGTCTTCTAATCAACCAACTATATTTATTTTAATTTTAAAATATTATTTTTAATTAAAAATGATTATATTTTAAAGGGAACATTTTTCAAGGAGAAACCTCTAAATTTGAAGCAAGGTGGCCAACTAAGATGCGATGGAATGATATTAATATTTTATTTTGAAAACAAATTTTATTAATCAAATAGAAGTGATAATGTTAAATATTACCTAAACTAAAAATAATTCTCAGCTCATTCACTATTCATGTAAATAGTAAAAAAATGATTTTTTAATTTTATTCTTCAATTTCCTTTTTTTATTAAATCCTTTTTAGCTTTTTTTTTTAATTTTTTAATTCAATAATTTGTTAATTTTAAAATGTCTTTATTTGATTTCTATGATGTTATTATTATCTCAAATAAATATCTTGATATTTGATTGATACTTAATTTTTCAAGCATATATTTTAATTGAATTATTTTTAGTTTGTTTTTTAATTTTATCTTTTAATACTTTATTGATTTTAAATTCATTTTTATAATTTATTTCAGTTTTCTTTATACAAGGTTATCATAATCTCAAATAAATATATTGATATTTGGTTAGTGCTATATTTTACGAGCAATTACTTTTATTATTATATCATTAAGTAAAAA